TGCCACCCGGCCGGGCGAGCCGCGCTTGGCTCGGGAGCCGCGAGATTGAGACCCCTGGAATAAAACAAACAAGTGGTCAGAGGGGCTCAAGTTCGACGCAAGCGCTAAGAACCGCGCGGTGGACGAAGGGACCGGTAGACCGCCCTACGAGGCTCTCTCCGGCATGCCCATGAGACAAGGTCTGTCCTCTGTACTGCCTGTGATGTTTGTCGAGGGACTGGAGACCGAAGAGGAGATGGAGGACGTCCTGAACAACTTAGAACGACGCAGCAGTCCTCCGACTAGTCCCCGAAGTCAACCAACACCACATCGCTCAAGCAGACCAGCCCCAAGACCACGAAATAAACCCAGACCAAGCCCCAAAACATCCCGACCCAAGACTAAACCACGAGCAACAAAAACCACTACCCGCCGACCCTACCAAAGGTACAACAACTTAAGTTAAAACGTCTACAATCCTGTGACGATTTTAACATAGTGTTCTTCCTGGTTGGTCGTTGCAGTCCACTCTAATCACCAGCCTCCAGTCCACTGCATGAGTCGAGTCCTGCCAGCTCCACCACCCCACTGCATGCATGAGTCGAGTCCTGTCAGCTCCACCAGCCCACTGCATGAGTCCAGTCCTGTCAGCCCCAGTCCACTCCAGCCACCTAGTCCTATCACCTCGGCCATCTCCTCCCCCTAGAGTCCTCGCCCGTCATCTCTCCGCCCCTCCGGACGTCCCCGCAATATATCCACCCATCCACCCTTCTGCCCTCGCTGCCCTACGCCACACCCCGGTCAGCCCTGTGTCAGCTGTGCGCTTCCAAGGGTGGGACGCACCTGGCGCCGGTGCTGGTCTCCGCGCTGCACAGCCTACAACGAGCCGTATCCGTACGGCGAAATGTGCACTTCATGCTTCCGGCCACTCTACAATATGTGTGCCGTCAAGGATGAGTGTCCATTTTGCCAACGGAAACGGCTAGTTAAACGGCAGTAGGGCAAGGCGCGAGAAAACCTGCAAAGCCAGGCTGCCAAGATGCTGCGTGCCACCCAGCAGAAGTTGAAGCCAATACACGTCGGTGACACGGTTGTGGTGCCAGTGCCAGAGTTCGACAGAAGCCCTGGCGACGCCAAGAATGTCATCTGCGTGGTACTGGAGGCAACACAGGACAAGCTGTACATCGTTATGGCCTTTATGACGGAATTCAAAATTAGCGGAAAAGAAATTCAAGTTTCTTAGGTACGAAGCGGACTTTGAAGAATACCTACTGGGAATCGATTTCCTACACGAATTTAATTTCGGGAGTCAAAGTAAGTGACCAGGTATTGGAAACTAGAACTGGAGAAGGTGACCACAAGGTAAGCACGCCGTTCAGGCTAGAGTCCTCGGCATGTGCACGAACATATACGGCCGGGAAAGTAGTATACAGTGTAAGAGCGAAGAAAAATCTGATCTTAAAACCGTTTGTAGAAAAAGAGTTACAAACAATACTAAGAACAGACACGACGATCGATGAGTCTACCGAGGGAAGGGTGGACGACCTGCCAGGTAGTGAACGGGCAAGGGATCAGGGTTCGCAGGGAAAATGTCACACCCAGAGCAGGGTGACATCGGAACTAAAACACGCTGATTCAAAAGAACCGTTAGGCTCTGGAGGGAATGAAATGGGATCCCACGCAAATAAATCGAAAGACCGGTCGTCTGAGGGAAGGAAAATAAGACTAGGAGTTTTTGTATCAAACCCTGCATTCACTGTGGAAAATTGTCGTACCGGGTACAGGAAAATTTTCCATGAAAGAAGTCGTACAAGTACAACCTAAAATTGGACAATTTACTAGCCCTATGTATCGACTTGGAATCGAATATCGAGCGACAGTGGGAGGTTGTACATGTACGCCTCGTATTGTAAATGGCAAATTACAAAATATATCGTACATGTACAGATATATTTTTCACAGTGTTTGGAAATAAGGTATCCAAATTTCCGCCCGCCGTAATAGCACAATCAGGACTCGTACCTTGTACCACAGCACCAATAAAAATAATGCTACAGAACTTTGGGGACAAATGCGTCACCATTCCAAAATGTGCAGTAGTAGGAGAAGTGTTTATTCTTCATCCATAGGAATATGATGAGGGTAACATTAAGAGCAACACTGAAGGCGATACAGTGGAGGCGGAAGACACAGGAGAGGAAAAGACTGTCATGCGTAATCAACCATGACACGTTTCCTTTCCATGATGCAGAATACAACACACAGCCTTCAATGCCAACCATCGGAGGGGGCCTTTACCAGCAGATTTGCAGACATTGGTGAACAAAATTGAGTTGTTACCTGAAACACAAAAGAAAATATTTGAAAACAAACTCAAGAAACATCATGACGTATTTGCTAAGGATAACACCACTTTTGGAAAATGCACCTATCTCAGATATCGAATAGACACAAGGGACCATGCTCACACTAAGCAAACGGCTAGGCCCATACCATTACACTATAGGAAAGCAGTAATGGAGACTATCAAGAAGTATCTTGAACAAGGAGCAATAGTTCCAAGCCAGTCAGCATGGGCGACCCCTATCTTTTGTGTCATGAAAAAAATGGGAGAGGTGGGGGTATGCATCGACTACAGGGCTCTTAATGGGGTAACAAGAGTACCAGCCACACTAATAACCAGGGTACAAGACCTACTGCAGCAGATGGGAGGTAAAAATATGTACCACGCATTTGTGGTGCTACATGGGAGTATATGGCAATAATAAGAACAAAATGTCTTATCAGTTCTTTCAGGTGTGCCGCTCCGCCCAGCCGGACCCCCAGCCGACGACGAATTGTCCACCGCCGTTGGAGCAGCTGGATGCAGCACTGCCTTGTTAGTATTCTTCCTCCATACTGTATTAAGGCGGGCTACCGTGCTTCCAATATTCGGAGTATATTTAAGGGGGCAGACCTGTGAAATACAAGGGTTTGGGGAAAAATTTATTTTAAACAAACGGGGCGACTCAGAGTTTTAGTACTGCGCGCATATATAAAGTAAAGATGGCCCCACAATTTGGCCACTGAGCGGTTCCGACCCCTCCACAAACATGGCCAGCATGGCGTTGAACTGGAGCTGATGTAGGCCTTTGCGGTGTGCACGATTGTGCCTAAACCGTTGGGTTTGCAACAGTGAAAAAAATTGCTAGATTCTCTTAAAACATGTATCTAGGATCTGACAGGAGGGTTTTTTGAAATTCCACTCCGAAATACTTAAAAAAAAATCCCAAAAAATGAGTTAAAAAAAATGGGTTCAAATTTGGGTACTTTTTCCCTGGTTTGGGTACCTTGCAATTGAGTAAAAAAAATCGCCCTTGTCAGATCCTGGGCACATAAATGAACAACATTCGGGCTAAATATTAAGTCAATAGCTCCAAAACTACGACTTGGAGGTTGCACACCGTTTGCAAAAAGTCATTCCGAGAAAAACGAGTTTAAAGTTTTCGGTACCTATGTATAGCGACGAACCAAAAGCCAGGGCAACTTACTGAACTGGTCCTAAAAGATTCCGGGGCTCTAGAGGACTCCTTCCTCCTCGTGCATCCTGTCCTGAGCGGCCAGGCGAGCCCTAGCGGTCCAGCCACCCGGCCACTCGCAGCACGTTATGGGCTCTCCTGAGCGCAATTTTTCGAATTTCAACATCCGCTTTGCGGCATTAGAAAGAGGAAAGATCAAAGAATGTTTTGAGGCATTAAAAAAAAATTGAATTTTTTGACGATTTTCACAGGTCTGCCCCCTTAACACCGGCGAGTGCACATAAGCGAGTGCTGACTGGCTATTATCCCAGGTGGCTGATTCACCCTGCGCACTCTGGTAGCTGTACTGTGCCGCATTCCTGTGCATGTTCTTTACCGCTCTAATCCAGCGAGGGAATCAAACCTTTCTCTCCGGAGAACGATGAAATTTACATCAAAATTCTCGATCTTTGGAGGGCGAGATCCTCGCGCTAGGATTTCTAGTAATACCGAGATAGGGTTTCGTCGGTATCGTGTTTGCCTTTCGTCACGATAAATAAATTATCTTTTCGTACCCTTTCAGGTTCCTCCAATGAGCTCAGCAGCCGCTCAGAGCCAGAGCCTGATATCCTGGACCTAGTCAGCTGGAATATGGCCAGATGGGCAGATCAGCAGAATACGCATTGTGAGTACGAGGGGTACTCTGGCGTATCTCCATAATAGAGAAACCGAAGAGTAATAAAATTGCCTTAGCGATACAGAGAGGGCGTTGAAAGCAAACGCAAAGCCCCTGCAGGCGCGCAGGGCAGGCAGACGTCTCCACACAGATGCTGTGCGGGTTGGCCTGCCCAACGTGTTGCAGGCGTCATCAGTTGCATCGCCACCATGGGAATCGTTCCTTCAGGAGGCCGCGGGCCCATTTACGAAAATTTACGAAATTGTAAAGGGATAATATTAATGCATGAAATTTGTTCTTACAGCTCCGATCGTCGGTGTGTTCTAATCGAGGGGCCCACAACTCTGGAATTCAGTTGTACAGGCCATCGAAATCATCTGGAAATCACCATAAATCACTGAAATCACATGATATCCTCCAAATTTATTAGAAATCTCGCGAATTCAAGCGAATTCACTGGAAATCACATTGAATTCGTTCAAATTCAATAGAAATCGCATTCAAATTATACTTGAATTCATCTGAAATCACCTCGAAATCTGCAAAATTTGGAGATAAGAATTCACTTAAATTGATTTGAAATCTCTTGAATTCACCAGAGATCTGAATTCATATGATATCTCTTGAATTCATATGATATCACACGAATTGACTTGAAATCGTCTGAAATTAATCAGTGAAAATCTAACTGAAATCAGTGGAAATCATACTGAAATCAGCGGAAATCTTTTTGAAATCAAAGAAAATCTGTTGAAATCTGTGAAATCATGTGAAATCTTGAAATCAGGTGTACAAGATTTCTCGGAGTTGTAGGCCCCTCGGTTCTAATTTTCTCTTCTGTTTGGCTGTCATTTGTTTATGGCTCCTTGCTGCTTGTTACTAGCAATCTTGTAATTCGTCGAACTAGCGGCGTAGAGGAGAAGATAAGGGATGGGCAGAGCGGCCAGCGTCGGTGGCCCAGTATTGTTGGGCAGGGACAGGGACGGGGCCTTCCCTGCCGTGTCCACCACCCACTCACAGGCTGCACTCCACGGGCACTGTGCGATTGCTCTCGTACTTGTTCACCTGTGTACACCTACCTGTACACCACACACTCCCTCATTAAACGTTGCATACATTTCTCTTCAGGTCCTTTCGCTCCACCCCAGCCCTTTCGCGCCGCCCCAGCCCCATCGCCAGGTCCTGCTGAACATGGACGAGCTGGAGGAGCAGGAGCTGCACGCGTGGATGCACGAAGAGCCCCTGACCGAGATCGAGAAAGAGGCTTTGGACATATTTAACGCAGTTGGAGGTAACGTCCGCCATTTTTCAACAATATTATAGGGATCATCCGGAAAGTGCGTCCAAGTTTAGCCAGTTATAAAGTGGGACTATACATACATAGTTGGTGTGCTAGTATTCCTTTGGCCTTATAGTCGTTGCTAATTAATGTAGGACCGAACATGGGTGAGAGGTATGGGGTGGTTCCCAGCCAGAAATGTATCGACGTTTATCAACGTAAACGTTGAATCAACGTTGATTGACCAAAGTATGGTCCAAATTTAGAAGTACTATCAACTTAAACGCCGATTCAACGTTGAGTCAACTTTCGATTTCTGGCTGGAGTTTGTTTGAATTGTGTCATAGTGCTATAAGCTCAGCGAAATGCAAGCTCTTAGTGCCTCATAGGTAGGCAACATCGTGCCTGCAGTGCATACTTGTACTGAGTGGTAGTCTGCCCTGAATCTCACAAGCGCAAAGCCCCCGTAATTTGCAATGTGGATACTGAGGAAAATCGTAATTTCTGGACGATCCCTTAGTTGGGATGCACTTTTTTTCGCACGCCGTCCCTTCTATTGCACTTGACATACTTTCACTTCTGTCCAGATGGATTGGTGACTATAGATGACCATGCAGCGATGATGCTCAAATGCCATGCCACCAAGCTCCCAGTTACTCATGTTTACTCCATCGATCCGAACGGGTTCCCTGTGGCCACCCGCAACCCAAATGTTCGGCATGGCAACTGGCTGGTCATTGCGACCAAAGAAAACTCTCAAGAAGAAATCGATAGGGCAGTGCATGACGCTTAGGATGTCACTGGTTTTCGTATGACACAATAGTGAATTCTCGTCTTGTAAGTCTACAGGGTGGGTAATCCGCGCCGTCTTTTTTATTTTTCTGCTTTACTGTGCCGGATACATGCGAGCGACGGTACGCAAGCCCGCACGCACGCCTGTATCCGGTACAGTATAAGCAGAAAAAACACTGAGAGGATCACCCACCCTGCATGTCTAGTCTATGTAAAAAATGTTTGTTATCTATTTTATGATGTACTAATTTATTTTCTAAATAGTATATGCCCAACTCTAAATGCACGATTGAGGTATTCCCTTGGTGTATTTATTTTCAATAAATACTCACGATCTATTTTTCATGTGTAGTATTACAAGGTAGATGTACGCCAGACCACGTCTCGCGTAACAGGCTTCGCGATACCTCACGAAACACTGTTACGCTGCGACGCGCCTGGCATACATCTACCTTGGCCTGCGGCGCTGACACCCGAGTCAGGTAGTGCAAAAATGTGCACAAAGATTCGGGCCTCCGGCCCGTCAACGCCCGTCACATCGACTAATCATGCAGGGTTGTACATTTTTTCGCTTATTTTCGTCAAAACCACCTTCTAGCGCCTCAACGGTTTGAGCTAGAGCAAAACGGACAAAATTTACGCCCGTAGGGCTCTACTTTGATGAGTTACCCCTTAGGACACCATAAAAAAATATTTTTAAAAAACGTCATTTTTGGGACCTGTTGTTTTCGATTTTTAAAAATCCAATTTTCGAGCTAGAATGCTCATCTTCGAACTCGATCTGTCTTTTTATGATACAAAAC